TTAGGCTCCAGGCTACTGTAGGGCCCTGGTTATACAGCATGTTAGGTTCCAAGCTATTGTAGGGCCCTGGTTATACAGCATGTTAGGTTCCAGGCTACTGTAGGGCCCTAGTTATACAGCATGTTAGGTTCCAGGCTACTGTAGGGCCCTGGTTATACAGCATGTTAGGTTCCAGGCTACTGTAGGGCCCTGGTTATACAGCATGTTAGGTTCCAGGCTACTGTAGGGCCCTAGTTATACAGCATGTTAGGTTCCAGGCTACTGTAGGGCCCTGGTTATACAGCATGTTAGGTTCCAGTCTACTGTAGGCCCCTGGTTATACAGCATGTTAGGCTCCAGGCTACTGTAGGGCCCTGGTTATACAGCATGTTAGGTTCCAGGCTACTGTAGGGCCCTAGTTATACAGCATGTTAGGTTCCAGGCTACTGTAGGGCCCTGGTTATACAGCATGTTAGGTTCCAGGCTACTGTAGGGCCCTAGTTATACAGCATGTTAGGTTCCAGGCTACTGTAGGGCCCTGGTTATACAGCATGTTAGGTTCCAGGCTACTGTAGGGCCCTAGTTATACAGCATGTTAGGTTCCAGGCTACTGTAGGGCCCTGGTTATACAGCATGTTAGGTTCCAGGCTACTGTAGGGCCCTGGTTATACAGCATGTTAGGCTCCAGGCTACTGTAGGGCCCTAGTTATACAGCATGTTAGGTTCCAGGCTACTGTAGGGCCCTGGTTATACAGCATGTTAGGTTCCAGGCTACTGTAGGGCCCTAGTTATACAGCATGTTAGGTTCCAGGCTACTGTAGGGCCCTGGTTATACAGCATGTTAGGTTCCAGGCTACTGTAGGGCCCTGGTTATACAGCATGTTAGGCTCCAGGCTACTGTAGGGCCCTGGTTATACAGCATGTTAGGTTCCAGGCTACTGTAGGGCCCTAGTTATACAGCATGTTAGGTTCCAGGCTACTGTAGGGCCCTGGTTATACAGCATGTTAGGTTCCAGGCTACTGTAGGGCCCTAGTTATACAGCATGTTAGGTTCCAGGCTACTGTAGGGCCCTGGTTATACAGCATGTTAGGTTCCAGGCTACTGTAGGGCCCTAGTTATACAGCATGTTAGGTTCCAGGCTACTGTAGGGCCCTGGTTATACAGCATGTTAGGTTCCAGGCTACTGTAGGGCCCTAGTTATACAGCATGTTAGGTTCCAGGCTACTGTAGGGCCCTGGTTATACAGCATGTTAGGTTCCAGGCTACTGTAGGGCCCTAGTTATACAGCATGTTAGGTTCCAGGCTACTGTAGGGCCCCTGGTTATACAGCAGATTAGGTTCTTGGTTACTGCTGTAAAGCAAAACACAGCTGTAAAGTGAAACATAGCCATTTTTCACTTTCAAAGACATATAAAAGCCTGATAACATGTTAACACTATCATATATTAAGTGAGCAATAGAACTAGGCCTAAAAAATGCACATACAGTACACACATTATTTACCTTAAAATGTTTTCGTCCATAGCTTACTGTGAGTGGTGAATACGTACATTTATTGCAGGAAGTCTGAATAAATTAAAGATGGGAATAACTGAAAACCACTGCATTAGCAAAATGCTGTAAAGTGAAGCACTGTAAAGCGGGGCCCTCCTATACTATTACTCAACTCAGGAAAAATACAGAAGCCAAATTATTTGGCTCAAAAGTATACCGTGTAGTGGGGAACCGTCTCAACAGTAACTATACTGAAATATCTGGCAATGTCATAGGTGAATTATAATGAATTAATCTTTTTCTTATTTTTTTTTTTAACGCAGTGGGCGTCTCCCACTGTGACCCAAATAGAAAAATGAAAGTTTTTCTTTTTACATTTAGTAATTTTTACAGAAGGGGTTACTAGCCCCTCAATATAATGAATAATGTAGCAGAAAAAAAAGCAAATGCCAGGTTAAAGCTGCTCTAGTTAAAAAAAGGCACAGTGTCTAGGTACTGAGGTTGGCAGCACACTAAGTCTATGGAGATTCTTCTTCTTCTTTATGTACTCCGCTATTACATAAAAGATGAAAAACAGACTACAAATTACCCAGAATATGATGGAGAGATTAATCCTGGAGTTGGGACCAAGAGAACAGGTAGGCCAGGATGAATTGCAAGATCTAGACGACATTTTTAACATGGCAAACAGAGTAAATCAACTGAAACTCAACCATGTACACAAAACCAGTGTCCATAATATCCTGATGCAAATTTTGTGAAGGTTAGGAAGCATGGCCAGTATGGTACCAGGGAAGGTGAACTATTATGTAGTACTCACAGTGGGTGGCTAGGCTTCAAACACCCACCTAGTAAACAATGGTTTGGAAAACTAACAAGTTGATAAATGAGACACTTATGCAACATTCTTCAGGCCAATGCAGAGAAAAAATGTTTTACTTGATCACGTCAAAACCAGTCCAACATACCCTTCTACCCCACCAACACACACACTTCTGCCCCTCCAACACCCCCTCCTGCCCCCTCCCCATTTATTTTATACATTTTCAAAAGCCCCCCGGGTTATGCAGAGCATAACTTGTCAGTTTTGTAAAACATTATTACAATGAATGAAAAATGCTGAACTTGAACCCTGTATAGTGTCTGGTGCGGTGTGGACAAACGTGACATAGGCTGTGTGCCCAATATTACACGACAGTCTCGTGTGTTAGTTATGTTGCTTTAATCTTATTAATACTAAAAGTTACCATATATGCTGTATGCATTACTCAGCAGCAATTTTTGAACATTTCCTGCATACACACATTTTTTTTTTTTTGTCAAATCCCAGAATGGGTGGGGTTCGATCCCATGACAAGCGAGTCTTAAAATTCACAGGTCTGTGAGTTTAAGAACTCACGTGCCACGGGATCAAACCCCACCTGTTTTGTAATTTGTTTGCACATATATCTATTTTTACATTTTAGGATAGGTCAGGATACATCAACCCATAAAAATGTATGTGTGACCCCATGCAACACGTACAGCAGGGCAGTGTGTGGAGGAACCACTGGGAGCACCAGGGAAGGAAGGCAAAGCCCTCATAATCTCCACATAATACCACAGCTTCAAGACAAGTCCCCTGGACCACTGCCATCCACACTGGCACTCCTTAAGATCTTCCTACAAAAACATTTTGGAGCCACCCGTGTTGAACCCAGGAGACATTGAAATCAGCATGGCTTCTGTGTGTGGTGCAAGGATTGGCTGAGTCATTAGATAAGTAACTCTAAAGCATCAACTCAGTTCCATAGGTACAATTTTAGGAAAAATGAATCATTGCACTGAACTTAATCAGGCAGCTGCTACCAAGACGAGTTATGCAACTAGACTAAAATAATTCAAAGTGAAATAAAGCACAATAAACAACCACAAGATAATACTTTATATTTATCAACCAATACATGTATATGCTTTTTAACCCTCACAAATTCCATAAAAGTTGGATATCTAAATGCCATTTTCTCATTTTCTGTAAAAGTATTTGATACAGTGTACTTTTAACAAATATTAATTATAAAAAGTTCTGGTTGTGAGGCATACAGCTACTGCATCATACACTGAAGCAGTACAATGAAACAGAGATAATAAATAATCAAAACAACAATCTATTTCCATAAATCAATCCAAAATTTTGCATGTCAGCACAAAGGGGGGAAAGAGTGCCAAGGGGAGGAGAGAGTGGCACTCCCAGCATGCCAGGCTGGCTTGTCTATCTTATCTAATCAACCTTGCTTATCTCTCCTGTCATTTTGCTCACACTGCTGCTTGTTACCCCACTCCAGCTCCCCCACCCCGCCTAACCCTTACAATAACTCTACCATATTCATGTCAGATATATTGTCATGTTCAAGTACAAATAAGAAATATTTACTTCCATTTACTTTGCTAATACAGTTTATGGACATGTAGTACCATCAACAACTGTACTTACATGTGTAGACAGGAGTACCTGTGCAATATAAATAAAGTTCTGATAATACAAACCTCGGAGAGAACTTACAACACTATTCAAACTGAAAAATTTAGATTTAAAAAGAGAATACATAGGAAAGTATTGGCCTGACAGTCAAACTCCCAAGAACCTTCGATAGAGAAATTACTTTGGAAAGATTTCAAAACTAGGATTGACAAATACTACATGAATGGGTGTAGCAGGCCAGTAGGCCTGCTAGAGTGCTCCTCCCTTCTTGAGCAGGTGTGAGTTGGACCTGCCTAGCATGAGCCAGTAGGCCTGTTGCAGTGCTCCTTCTTTCTTGTGTTCCTATGTTTTACGAGTGGAAACTGCTGCGAGTGAATAGAATGGTCCTCAAGATGGACGCGTTTCCTTGCACTATTGCTCCTGTCCATGTACAGTATCAGTAAATAAAAACTGTACTATACCTGGGTATTAATCAAATGTTCTAGTCTTCATCCTTATATAGAGCTTAGCTTTGAAATAAGCTGAGGAAGGATAACCTCTAAATTCAATAGAGTTAAAAAAAAAAAAAAGTAACGATTCTCACTTGCTCTGTAGAACATGGAGTACAAGGGTAACCCGTCACTACTGTAGGTCTAGGTAATTCCTGGGAATTTAACTCGAATCATTTTCATTCCCAGTATTTCAGTCCTCGTAACCTAACCTAACAAGCCTTAACCTAGCCAAACTTACCTTAACCTAGCTTAACATTCCTTAACCTAACCAAACTTACCTTAACCTAGCCTAACATGCCTTACCCTAAGCAAACTTACCTTAACCTAGCCTAACATGCCTTAACCTAATCAAACTTACCTTATCCTAACCTTACATATCTTACTCTAACTAAACCTGACAAACTACCCTAAGCTAACTACCATACCTAGCCGATTCCAAGTAAGCCTACCCTACCCTGCTATTATTTTTCAGACTTTTAATCAGTGTTTAAAAAAAGTGGAAATGGAAAATGCCAAGAGTCAAATAATAGAGTTAAATTCCCAGTCACCCATTTTACAACTGAAAGTAACTCACCTGTTGGTTGAGATGATCCTGCCAGCCTTGCTTATTTTTCTGCTGTGGCTGAAGGTGGTGGTTGTGAGACTCAGAGTTATGGAGGCCATCTGCCCACTCATGGTTGAGGGTGTGGTTTTGTGTTGAGAGAGAGTCACCAGCCTCCCAACCCCACTCAGAGCTCTTCTCTTTCAGAGCCCTGAGCTCATCCTGTAAGATCAAATTACTCACATTATTATTATTATTATTATTATTATTATTATTATTTATAACACATCGGTGGCCCAAAATGAAAGAAAAACCAAATCATAATCATAACCCAATGCTAAACTAGTAAGGGTCATACAGCGATACTCTTCTCATACAAGTAGTGTATGTAGCAGCAGATACAATTTACCTTTAAAATGATACAGTAATGGTCTAGGACCGAACCTTCAGCTAAACATTTATCACCAGTTTAAAGGTTAACAGTGAATTGTTTCAGCCATGGCAATGTGACTTTTATTAATTTATGTGATTGCTTTAATCAGAAAAAGAGCTAAACCCATAGGGAATTTATGAGGGAATGGGATCAAGAGCTCCACACCAGCATCAAGGTACAGTGGACCCTCGACTAATGCTATTAATCCGTTCCTGAGAGCTCATCGTTAGTCAAAATAATCGTTAGTCAAGTTAATTTTCCCCATAAGAAATAATGGAAATCAAATTAATCCGTGCAAGACACCCAAAAGTACAGTGGACCCCCGCTTAACGATCACCTCCCAATGCGACCAGTTATGTAAGTGTATTTATGTAAGTGCGTTTGTACGTGTATGTTTGGGGGTCTGAAATGGACTAATCTACTTCACAATATTCCTTATGGGAACAAATTCGGTCAGTACTGGCACCTGAACATACTTCTGGAATGAAAAAATATCGTTATCCGGGGGTCCACTGTATTGAAAAAAAAAAATTTTAACACATGAAATATTAATTTTAATACACACAAACTGAAGAAGACATGCACAGTTACATGACACTTACCTTTATTGAAGATCTGGTGATGATTGATGGGATGGGAAGAGGGGAGTGTGTTGATGGTCTTAGTGTTTAGAAGGGGAATCCCCTTCCATTAGGACTTGAGGTGGCAAGTCCTTTTTCGGGGTTACTTCCCTTCTTTTAATGCCACTAGGACCACCTTGAGAGTCACTGGACCTCTGTCGCACAACATATCTGCCCATAGAGGCCTGTACCTCCCGTTCCTTTATGACATTCCTAACGTGTTTCACAACATTGTCATTGTCACCATTAAACACTTGTTCAGGTTTCAGTCCTTCACTGTCTATGTACTCCTTGAATTCCTGCACATATTTTTCAGCTGCTTTTTGGTCCAAACTGGCAGCCTCACCATGCCTTATCACACTATGTATGCCACTACGATTCTTAAATCTCTCAAACCAACCTTTGCTGGCCTTAAATTCACTCACATCACCACTAGTTGCTGGCATTTTTCTAATTAAATCGTCATGCAACTTCCTAGCCTTTTCACATATGATCGCTTGAGAGATGCTATCTCCTGCTATCTGTTTTTCGTTTATCCATACCAATAACAGTCTCTCAACATCTTCTATCACTTGTGATCTCAGTTTCGAAAACATAGTTGCACCTTTGGCAAGAACAGCTTCCTTGATTGCCGTTTTCTTGGCCACAATAATAGCGATGGTTGATTGGGGTTTTGTGTACAGCCTGGCCAGCTCGGAGACATTCACTCCACTTTCATACTTAGCAATGATCTCTCTCTTCATATCCATAGTAATTCTCATCCTTTTTGCTGTAGGGCTGGCACTAGAAGTTTTCTTGGGGCCCATGGTGACTTATTTTGCAGGTGCAATCACTAAAAAGGCTGTGATAATATGAAATGTTCCGATTGTATGCTTGGAAGCGACCGCGGTGGCTGGCTGGCTTGTAAACACTGGCCAGAAGTGGACGCGTCTGACAGACGGAAGGAATAGTGTTGGTCGAGTTTTTTAACGCTAATCGAGGCAAAATTTTTGCGATAAATATATCACTAGTCAGATTTATCGTTAATCGATGCCATCGCTGGTCGAGGGTCCACTGTATTTCCCTTGAGATGCCAAAACTTTTAAATAAACTGTATTGATCATTCTCTTTAACCAATGCTAAAGAAAAAAAATTTGTGTTGCATTATCATTCTTAATGACACATTTCTGTCTAAAAGTACAACAAACAAAACTGAAATAAAGATGGATTATTCTATTATATTCATGGGGAAAGCACAAAAGAAAAATAGGACTCTTACAACACCTTGGGAATGGGAGGTAATCAGATTTGATTCATGGAAAAGGAGAATACCTCCAGTTCCTTAGATCAAGAAAGCATGAACCGAGCTCTTAAAAAAATGGCAATGAATTCATTTACTAACATTTCAACATTGCAAAACAACTTCAAAGAACTTAATGTATTTTCTCTCATCTAGTTGCTACATAGTACTTGTGAGATTTAGCACACATTAATATACTGTATAATTCACTGACGTTATTTTTCCTGTTTTCACTGTCCTTGATGGTAGTAAAGATATCTTGTAGTTACCCCTTTCCTTCCTCTGATCAAACCTGATTATTCCCATCCCTCCCATTGCCAGGCACTGTATAACCCATAAGGGTTTAGCACTTCCCAAGAGTACATAAAACTGCCTCTCATCGCTTAATGACGGAGTTCCATTCCTATGACCATGTCAGTAAACGAATTCATCACTAAGTGAGGAGCATACTAAAATGGTAGTGGGATTGTGTCAGTCATCTTTGACATTGTTTTAATGTCACCTTTGCATCATTTATAACATTTCTGGTATATTTTTAAATGTTTATACAGTAGTGTACTGTATACTGTAATAAACATAATAGAGGAAATCAGCTCTAATATACATCACTTGGGTATGCATACTGATCAGAGAGCCCATCGCAAGTCTGAGTCGTCAGTAAACGAGTACGTCGTTAAGTGAGGAGAGGCTGTACTACTGAAATTCTTTCAATCTTTTATTTATGAAGGGATTCAGGAAACTGGTTAGCCAAACTTGCGTCTTGGAGGTGGGACGTACAGTGCCTGCACTCTGAAGGAAGGGTGGGGGTGCTGTAGTTAAAGGGTTATCAGACAAGTGATGTTAGTACACTTCTGGGAAGACAGTAATTGAATGATGGTAAAAGTGTTTCTTCCTTTAGAGGGTACCCTACCTCTTGCGAAAATTTTTACTTTTACGCGATCAGTCACCTCTTACGACACGCATGGCTTATGGATTCTTCTCCACTTTCCCATGGAACTGAGTATTCTATTCTTATTATATATTCATTCAAAAGTGCTAACCCACATGGGATCATTTAGCACCCAGGAAATGGGAGGCAATCAGGTTTAATCCAAGGAAAAGAAGAGTAGCTCCAATTCTTTTGATTAACCCTTTGAGGGTTTTCGTCGTACTAGTACGTCTTACGCGTAGGGGTTTTTGACGTACTAGTACTCATAAATTCTAGCGACCTCAAATCTAGTGGGAGAAAGCTGGTAGGCCTTCATATGAAAGAATGGGTCTATGTGGTCAGTGTGCACAGTCTAAAAAAAATCCTGCAGCACACGGTGCATAATGAGAAAAAAAAAACTTTTTCCATTTTTTTTTAATAAATCAGCGACTTTGCAGTGTATTTTCTTATAGTATTTATTGTTGTATTCTAGTTTTCTTGGTCTCATTTTATAGAATGGAAGACATATTACTGAAATTGAGATGATTTTGACTGGTTTTACAATGAAAGGTGCCTTGAAATTGAGTTCAAAGTAGCAGAAATGTTCGATTTTTACCAAACTTCAAAAGTAAACAAATCGTGCCAAGCGTGCAATACACATCAACTGGTGAGTCTAATATTCTTTCACAAGTGCACCAATAATATTTATACCATTTTTTACACTAATGCAGTAGTCTGCATAACAGTAAATCTTATATTTTTTGTGAGAATAAAAATTCAAAGTGGAAAGCAAAAGAATATAAGAGGGGCCTTGAGACGTGACTAATGACTAGAGGAAATGTCATTTTAGTGCCAGGAATGTCTTTCTTGTTTATTCTGGACCCTATTCCGAAATTGGCATCTTTTGAAATTTGTGTGAAATTGGCAAAATTGCTAAATTCTGACCACTGTACTGGATAGTTGAATTTATAAATGGGTGGTTTCTTGCACCCATTCGATAGAAAAAATGGAGTTCTAGCGAAATATTCATGTTTTTTGTCGACTAGTACAGTGAAATTGGCCGAAAATGGGGCTCAAAGTGGGCAAAATCGCCGATCCGTAAACATCGCCGAGACCGCTAACTTTGCGAGAGCATAAGTCCGTAAGTTTTCTATCAAATTCCAAACTTTTGGTGTCGTTATGATCGGGAAAAGATTCTCTATCTTTTCATAAGAGAAAATATTTTTTTTTTTTTTTTAAATTTGGCCGACCCTGAGAACGAGTTTCGGAGAGGGCCTGTCGACCCTCAAAGGGTTAAGAGCCCTTTACCATCATGGCATCCATATGTAGGGTACCCACACCTAGGCACCCCCTAAGTTTTCCTTGAGAGATACATCATCCAGAGTAAGTTATTTCTAGTTTGGCTAGTTTGGTTTCAGCTGGACTTGCTAGGCTAGGTTTATTTTCATGTAAGGTATTCATCAGTTATCGTGTGACCACACCCCATCTGCATGTCTATCTGTGACATCTCTACATTCATTTGCATATCTATTGCAAAACTGCCATAATTGTGTATATCAAACTGAATTATCTGCCAGTGAAATTTATAGCTTTAAGGTATTTGCATATGAATCTATTTGCCATCTAAATATACAGTCATCTATTGATTTACAGAGGGGCTGGCTATTGAGTGCATGAGCGAGTGATAGGTATGAAAGAGTATAAGTGGAGTGAGAGTCACATGTTTCTTCTTGAGTAACTACTAACAGTGGAAATCAGTGCCAATAGACACTGTATCCACATCCACTGCCCAAGACTCTTCAACTTTCTACAGTTCTACCAGCAAATATAAAAAATATTGCAGAAACAGATGAAGGCTTTCAATAGGAAACTGGGAATAGTCCTATAGGAAATGCCAATTCAGCCAGATTGTAGTGGCTAAGTAGGCTTGCAGGCTGCTGGCAGCAACAGTCTGGTTGAAGATAAGAGATAAGATTTCGTTCGGATTTTTAACCCCGGAGGGTTAGCCACCCAGGATAACCCAAGAAAGTCAGTGCGTCATCGAGGACTGTCTAACTTATTTCCATTGGGGTCCTCAATCTTGTCCCCCAGGATGCGACTCACACCAATCGACTAACACTCAGGTACCTATTTGCTGCTAGGTGAACAGGACAACAGGTGTAAGGAAACACGTCGAAATGTTTCCACCCACCGGGAATCGAACCCGGGCCCTTCGTGTGTGAAGCAGGAGCTTTAGCCACCAGGCCACTGGGCCACCAACTAAAAAAATCTGCCCTCAGGTCAGACTGAAAAAGCAGAACTCTTGGTATCAGTCATGGGTATGGTATTTAGCACATACGAGGATACAGGTATGTATGTATTAGAAAATATGTATCGTTAAGAGGTAAAAATGTACAGCGACTTTCATAAATGGGGGAGGTGGAAGTATTGAGGGACAACCTCCTACCCTACCAATATTACGGTCTATAGTCCCTCACCAGGGGCTAGTAACCCCTTCTCCTGTATAAATTACAGCCTCTCCTCGCTTAACGATGGAGTTCCGTTCCTAAGACCATGTCGTTAAACGAATTCGTTGCTAAGTGAGAAGCATACTATAATGGTAGTGAGTTTGTGTCAACCATCTTTAATATTGTTTTAATGTCACCTTTGCACCATTGATAACATTTCTGGTATGTTTTTAAATGTTTATACTGTAGCGTACTGTATACTGAAATAAACAGAACAGAAGAAATCAGCTCTAATATACATTATTTAGGTATGAATACTCATCAGAGAGCCCGTCATAAGTCTGAGGTGTCGGTAAACGAGTACGTTGCTAAGTGAGAAGAGGCTGTACTAAATGTAAAAAAGGAAAACTTTCACTGTTCTCTTTTAGGTCACCCTTCCTCAGTGGGAGACAACTGGTAAGTTAAAAAACAAGGTTCCCCACCAATGATTTAGTCTACTCCAAAGATGTAGCCAACCATTACCCCTTGATGCCATAGCCTATTATTATTACAATCATGGAGGATGAACTAAATCCATTAGGGTCCTACAAAGCAAGGAGAATGAGAGGTAATCAGACTTGATCAGAGGAAGGGATGGGCAACACCAATTCCTTGGATCAAGAGCTGCCCTTCAATATCAAAGTACCCTCCTTGAAAAGACATGCAGCTTGTGAGAAGGCATTGTGCATGCGTACTTCACGTTGTTGCAGCTGCTGGCGGAGAAGGTTGACCTGGTGAGCACTGTGCAGGTTGGAAGCTTGCAGTCGCTCCTCCACCTCCGCTTGACTCCGCTTACATTCCTCAACCTAGAACAAGCAGAAACTTCTCTGAACACACGCCTCACAATTTAACCTGAGTTACAATAATAAAATGACTAAAGGCATAAAAAATGTCACACTTCATAACCGAGTTAAAAATATTATTATTCTATTACAATCATGGAGCAACACCAAACCCATAGGAGTCACAAAGCCCCTGAGGAGTGAACAGCAATCATGTTCAGTCCAAGTTCTGCCACTCCCCTCCCTATACCTACTGTATACTGGGAAAGATTAGATAGTCTTTACCACATGATGACAAACAAGGCATGTAACAAATATAAAAACACTGCATGAAACCACATATTATTTATAAAATCTAAGCATATACCGGTAATATTATCAAGTCACCGAGGAGTTTGTCATCCTGGGTACCTTAACTGAAGCAGCACCTTCAATATGTCATTGTCACATTATTATTTTTTTTTTTAACACATCAGCCATTTCCCATGGAGGCAGGGTGACCCAAAAAAGAAGAAACACTTTCATTATCACTCACTCCATCACTGTCTTGCCAGAGGCGTGCCATTACAACAGTTCAAGCACTGCAACATATCTCCACCCCTCCTATTATTATTATTATTATTATTATTATTATTATTATTATTACACTAATGGAAAAGCACTAAATCCTTAGGGAGTATGAGGTACAGTAATTAGGTTTATTACTGTCACAGACTCTTAACTGCTTTTACAACGATACATGATAGTTTGCCCAGAGTACACTGCAAAACATTGAGTAGCAACAGCTTCAAAAGATACTTTTATCTAATATTTATACTGCAACAGGGAAATTTCCTGCCCAATGAATCACCTACAATGTCAAGTTTTTCAAGGCGTTTCCTTAAATCATTATCAAATCTCCTGTCACTGCTGATAATATGACCCAGATAGATTAAGTGTAACACCAAGGTGTGAGAGGAGTCATCAAATTTGGCAGTTAACATAATTAACTTAAAAGATTTCATACGATGGATGATCATGCACTTCATTTTGACTGAGTTATACTGTATATTATGCAATATTTAACTGCAGAAGTTGACAAACAGTACTACAAGATAAAGGCAGTACCACAAGATACAAACAGTACCACAAGATACAAACAGTACCACAAGATACAAACAGTACCACAAGATACAAACAGTACCACAAGATACAAACAGTACCACAAGATACAAACAATACCACGAGATACAAATAGTACACCACAAGATACAAACAGCACATCACAAGATACAGATACAAATAAGGAGAGGCTGTCTACTCACACTACAGAATATACAGCAGATCTCTCTGACGAATCAGTGGGAATAAATTTATACCCTGGAAACTAAGTTAAATCCAATTAGACTAACAGTGCCTTCTTATCAAGAATTAACCTCAAAATGAGTTTGCTGGAAAGCCAAATGAACTAAAATTGCAATGTAAATTGGACAATATCTTGGTCCAAGCTGGGCCATTGTCTGAACCAAGATGGACCAAATTATCAAAAGATATACCTTGATATAGCTTTAATGAGTTTTAAATTCTACTCCATCAGCCTGGTGCTAGGTCAGGCTTATGGTTCGTAAAAGAACAAAAAAGCACAATACTGTGACTGAACCAATACACAAATAACCTGCACATAGGACAGAGGTATCAACAATGTTTTGGTCCAAGTCAGACCAAAACATCGCTGCAAGCTTCTCTCTCCTGTGTGCTGATTACTATTTGTGTATTATGGGTTCATTGCTAATAGTTGCCACCTTGGTACTGTGACTTTTAAGTATGAAAATGCATTAGCATAACCAAGGGCTTTCTGCATGCACAACCAAATGTCACCCATCACTGTACAATTATTATTATTATTATAATCATAACTAAGCACTAAACCCACAAGGGTCATACAATGCTCTCATCACTGTATAAATACAGTGGTACCCCGAGTTTCATACAAAATTCGTTCCAGAAGGCTGTTCAAGTGCCGTTACCAAACAAATTTGTTCCCATAAGGAATAACGTAAATTAGATTAGCCCATTTCAGACACCCAAAAATACACTTACAATAATACACTTGCATAACTGTTCGAGTTGGGAGCTGTACGAAACTCAGGGCACCACTGTATTGTATCATGTGGAAATAAATGTTTGACTTAGCTACTTTCACTTCCACCTACAATACAATTTTTATTTTCTTTTTAAAGGTTACAATGTGTGATTTACATTTTATAATATGTGGGCCATGGCCTGGTGGCTGAAGCTTTTGCTTCACATGGTGAGGTGTCTGGGTTTGATTCCCAGCTAGGGTTGAAACATTAGGCATGTTTCCTTACACCGGTTATCTATGTTCACCTATCAGTAAAAAATGGGTACCTGGGTGTTAATCGACTGGTGTGGGTCACATCCTGGGACAAAATTGACCTAATTTGCTCGAAATGCTCTGCATAACAAAGGGCTTTCTATATAGTAGCATGTGGTTGATGTCAGCTATGGTCTGTATACCTTGTACATGTACTTGTAGAAATAAAGATATTATTATTATTAATATTTTGAAGTACAAAGAAAGCCACTAACTTGCCTGAGCACTTCTGATGAATCACTTCAATTATACTCCTAATTGTCATCAACACAAATTGAACAATTATCTCAATCTCAATTCGTTCCCTGGCTTTATTTTCCATTTTCACAATGGGCTATTTCCCCACCCCTCAACCCCTTTTTTTATCATCTCACTTTCTTCTCAACCACTCTCCCCCCTCTCCCCTCTATTCAACTTACCCTTACCTCACAATCCCATTCAACACACCCCTACTTCACCTCAACCCATCCCCCTCCACCTCAACCCCATCCCCACTCACCTCAACCCCAACCCCACTCCACCTCAACCCCATCCCCCCCTCCACCTCAACCCCATCCCCACTCCACCTCAACCCCATCCCCACTCCACCTCAACCCCATCCCCCCCTCCACCTCAAACCCCATTCCCCCCCTCCACCTCAACCCCATCCCCACTCCACCTCAACCCCATCCCCACTATCACAACCTTCACCCCAACCTTCCCAGCCCCCCCTGCTTATCTCGACCATTCAACCCACCCCCACTCCACCTCAGCCCCATCCCCACTCCACCTCAACCCCATCCCCACTCCACCTCAACCCCATCCCCACTATCACAACCTACCCCCAACCTATCCCCAGCCCCACTGCTTATCTCGACCATTCAACCCACCCCCACTCCACCTCAACCCCATCCCCACTCCACCTCAACCCCATCCCCACTCCATCTCAACCCCATCCCCCACTATCACAACCTTCACCCCAACCTATCCCAGCCCCACTGCTTATCTCTCGACCATTCAACCCACCCCCATTCCACCTCAACCCCATCCCCTCCACCTCAACCCCATCCCCACTTCATCTCAAACCCCATCCCCACTATCACAACCTTCACCCCAACCTACCCAGCCCCACTGCTTATCTCGACCATTCAACCCACTCCCACTCCACCTCAACCCCATCCCCACTCCATCTCAACCCATCCGCACTATCACAACCTTCACCCCAACCTATCCCAGCCCCACTGCTTATCTCGACCATTCAACCCACCCCCACTCCACCTCAACCCCATCCCCACTCCACCTCAACCCCATCCCCACTCCATCTCAAACCCCATCCCCACTATCACAACCTTCACCCCAACCTATCCCAGCCCCACTGCTTATCTCGACCATTCAACCCACCCCCATTCCACCTCAACCCCATCCCCACTCCACCTCAACCCCATCCCCACTCCATCTCAACCCCATCCCCACTATCACAACCTCACCCCAACCTATCCAAGCCCCACTGCTTATCTCGACCATCAACCCACTCCACTCCACTCCAACCTCAACCCCATCCCCACATCCATCTCAAACACCCATCCCCACTATCACAACCTTCACCCCAACCTATCCCAGCCCCACTGCTTATCTCGACCATTCAACCCACCCCCACTCCACCTCAACCCCATCCCACTATCACAACTTTCACCCCAACCATATCCCAGCCCCATAGCTTATCTCGACCATTCAATCCCCCCCACTCCATAAGCCTTACCCCCATTTCACTCCCCCCCCCCCCCGCCACCTTGCATAAACAACACAAACGACATCCGCTAACCACCCAAGGCTAACTCCGGCACCCCCCTCCCTCCATTCTTCCCTCCCTGCCTCCATCCATTCCTTCTTCCCTCCATTCTTCCCTCCCTGCCTAATCCATCCATCCATCTCTCCATTCTTCCCTCCCACCTCCATTCTTCCCTCCCTGCCTCCATCCATCCCTCCTCTCACCTCCATTCTTCCCTTCCTGCCTTCCTCCACTCCTCTTTTCTCCCTCCCTGCCTCCTTTTCCACTCCCCTCCCTCCTTCCTTCCTATCCCTCCCTCCCTGCCTCTCTTCCATCTCCTCTCCCTCTCTATCTTCCATCCCTCCCTCCCTGCTTCCTCCACTCCCCTCCCTCCCTCCCTGCCTCCTTACCACCCCTCCCTCCCTCCCCCATTCTTCCCTCCCTCCTTCCATCCCTCCCTTTCTTCATTCTCTTTTCCCCATTATTTTTTTTCACTTTTTCTATCTCCCTCTTTCTCTTAGCTTTCCCTTCCGTCTTTCACTTTATTTTCCCTCTGTCCTGTTCCTCTTTTTCTCTTTCACTTATTATATCTCGTTCTTTTTCTTACTCCTCTCTCTCTTCTGCTCTCTCTTTCTCTTACTTCTTTTTCACTAGTCACCCCCTTTCTTCCCCTTTCTCTTACCCCTCCCTCCATCTTTTATTCTCCCTTCCTCCCTCCTTTCTCTTACTCTCCCTGAGAGACAATCACATTACAATAAATAAGTTTTTATAAACTCTATGGAAAATACAAGCCACATTTTGTCGACAATTTTTCTAGTATAGTAAGTATACCTGGAGTCTACTAGAAGCCTACCTGGAGTCTATTTCAGGAGACTCGCCACCCCCATAGCCAAATCCTAGACC